GCGACTTCATAACCTAAAGCTATAGTTGGACAATCAACTCCAATATGCTAATGGACCAGAACTTACAAAAGTGAGAGACCTTGTGACCAGTTGTCCATTTTGTGACCATTTTATGTTCATCTTGGGTGTAGCCCAGGCTGAGATCTTGTACTGCCCAAGGTGTATCCATTGAGGCCTTTTAATAAATACCTACTTTATTCTTTAACTCCATCTAGCCTCTGTTCTAGGTCAGACTTCACAATGCTTCAGTTCTGGTGACAGCAAAGGGACAGAAGGCATCTGGAAAACCCCCTGGACCAGAGCTAGAGAAACACCCAGCTCCTGCCCCAGCACTCTTGCATCAGAACTATTTAGCAAATTGTTAATTTCTATGATGAAAATAAATAGCTGGTAAATGTAAAATATCTTCATTCAAAAAATAATTTGCTGCATGTACTGGAGTGGCTTCTGCCCTATAAAAGCTGATTCATGTTGTTGCAGAATCCCATAACAATTTCGGCATTTTCAGCTCACCCAGCACAAATACATGAAGCTGCAATTTCTTTGACTGAAAAATTCCAAGAAATAGTAACTCCTGGACTCTAATGGGTGGTGGTTCCAGCTAGCAGGCAGGGAGTGGTGGTGAGGATGGGGCTGACCGCCTATAGCAGCTGTCTGTGAAGTATATGGTTGTGTTAGGAGAGTTTAGTGTTCTTTTCCCTGTGGGAGCAGAAAGGTGCAGATGGTCACCCTCCCAGAGCACCTCCAGGTTACTGCATGTGCACGTTGTGTTCCCATACAACTTCAGTTTTACTGAAGTCAGGAATGCTTTCCTGGAAGGTGCTTTATTGAAGGAGTGCAAGTAAATTTTTCAGTGACTGCTTTCAGTAGTCTCTTTTATCTTGCCTTGCCTAGCCTTGCCTGATGTTGTAGTTAGTTTTTGTGAGATGCCAGGAGTGTATACCAATGATGACAAAAGAGTGCATTTGACCAGCCAACAGCAGTGAGTACTGGGAAGTCACTGGAAGCCTCTGTTGATTTGATGGAATAAATCCACTGTAACCAAGGGAAGGATTTAGCATTATTTGTTTGTGAAACTTGAGTGCATTCTGAACATGGCCTTTGATTGTCAACTGAAATGCAAAGGCTTTAATTAAGGCAGGCACAAAAGATGATTGGGTAATGATGGTGAATGACTCTTCTGTACTTTGACAGTGTGTGAGAATGTTGCTCAGAGTGCTGCAAATGACTGAAAGAAATGTTCCTTTTAATCACACAAAACTGTCTTCTACTAAAGGACAGTTCATTAAAACTGAATTTAGCATCTATGTTTAGAGAAATTTAACAGATGTGTCTGTGACAAATGCATTACTCATTGCATATTGTTTTGTATGAGACTTAAAGAAAAGTAAGCATATTGTGAGTGCCCACTGTTGTCCACTGGTGTTCCTCCTGGTTCAACAAGCTGTGGTGTGTAGCAGCAAGGCGAGGTGGTCAGTGCCGCTACCTTCCCCACAAGCGTCCTCAGAGGGAGAACATTTGGGCAGGCACATGACATTCGTACACATAGCACACCACAGCTAGCAGGCAGGCGAGACATAGGAGGATCTTCAGTATGGGGTTCCAGTGAGGCTTTATTAGAGTCTGGCACTGAAGGGGTCCAGGGACAGAAGACAATGGACAGAGGAAGGTCCAGGTAAAAATATGCAAAGGAGAGGGTGGAGCAAAGCATCAGGGCCAATCAACTGAGGACATAGGTGCGGTACGAAGGGCAGGAGCCAATAGGCAGTGTCAGGGTGGACAGGCAGGGCTACATTAACCAATAGGGAAACAGGGAGTAGGGATTATTCTAGAACAAAATCATATAGGGTTAAAAGGGGTAGGGATGGCCAATGGGGAATACAGAACTGGGGTGAATTGGCGTAGTGCTGCAGAGCACCATGGGGCAAGCCTTCTGTCTCCCCCCAAACTATGGGAGATGCCCACAGCCTATGGTGCATGCCTCCAAGGCATTGCCACTGCCCTTTTCCCAGTAGGTTCACGGGCCTCCACAGTGGTGTAAAAAGGTAACTGTATTATTCTACAAACAAAATTACAGGAATGGATAAATGTCACAAACTTTTTTGCATTTAGCCTAGGTCACAAGCTGTCTTTCTTGCATGCCTTTGTGATCTCTTCTTGTCTGGGGAAGTAAAGCAGTAGTGTGTGCTATTCCAGGGAAGGATGGTCTTATCCTAGTTGTAAATGAACTCCCCACTCAGAGGTTTGCATTTTGCACAGGAAAACCTAGAGCAAATAACGAGAAAACTGAAATTCTAACAGAGTAGAGGATGTTAGGGATTAAAATCTGACTTTCTGTTTGCATTTATATTTTGTAGTTGTTCTAGATGGGGCCGGTGAGGAAAAGTTGACTTATGACAAGGTTTTATAAAGTGTGGCAGTTTGTTTAATCAGGAAATGCACTGGGAGGATATTTGACCTTTCAAATCCTCTGTATTGATCTCCATTTTTTCTCTTCCATTTTATGGATTGGGACTAGAACTGACTTGTTTCTTATGCTTTATAATTTTTTATGAGCTGAGTTTATGTTTATAATGAGGCCTGTGTGAACATCCCATAATGATACCCCAATAATTTCAGCATTCAGAGAGTTTTTCAGGAGCTCAACCAACAGACAACCTGAAAGGATTCAGACTGTACCACCCATGTATGTACTTACCTACACATATTTGGCTTCTCTTTTAATAAATATCAAATAGTAAAATTACATATATATTTGCGCACACTTGGATCAAGATATTAGATTTAATTTCAAACAAAATATATTTTGGGGAGAAGAGAGGTACAGTCTAATGTCAGTCCCACCAAAGTTACTGGTTATAAAGGGGTTAAAACCAAATGAAAACAAACAAACATAGCTGAACCAAAAAGTATTGCAAAATGCAACAGAAATTGTTTCTGTATTTTAAATCCATTTGAAATTCAGGAATATGCTTTTATTAAATGGAAGACTCTAGGTTAGTCAGGTCTTGACATCCCTTTCCACGTTTGTGTTGGGTCAGAAAAGCTGAAATATGTTCTCCTGAATTGATATTTTATCCAGCAAAAGAAGGAATTCTATGATTCTAAATGAATTTTGAATTCCCTTGATTTCAGTATGTGTAAGAGACATTTAACTTTCTCTAGCTGTGGAGTACAACTTAGTATCATATAAAAACACATACACTTTTAAAAATATTTGCTGAACTGCTGTTGGGTTAGAAATACATAAGTAAATTATGAAGAATAATGTTAATTCTTACATTATTAGTTTATTTTTCTTGAATAAATAGCCATAATAATAATTAGAAAATATAAATACCTCACTTCTTGTTGGGCCAGATGTCACTTCTTTGAGGCTGGCACATAGAACAGCTTTTTAGCATCTTAAAATGACACAGCATTTTTGGCCTGATGCTGATACTCCATCTTTCTTTTAAGAAACAGATTGCTCTAAGTTATTTCCTCAGCTTCAAAAGGGAAAGATGGGTATCACCAACAAAAAAATGTCAGTAATTTCATTTTCATTCATGGCTTGAAGCATTTAAAGATTAATTTTAGATATAAATATTGTTATTGAACATTTTATACTAGTTTTCTGTAGATGGCCAAATGCTTTGGAGTTGCTAATGTATATAGTGTGGAAAACCTAAATGTAAAATTGCATCCATATGAGGACTCCCACAGATTTCTAAAGTATGCTGTCCCTTACTAAATTAATTATAGCATTTTTTATTATCTTCAGGCTTTTGTGGAAAAAAACAATGTTCTCACTGTAGGAAATCAAGGGATAAAAGCTGACTGAGAAAAGCTGTGGTTCTGCTTTGTCAAGTCTTTGTGGTAGCCTTTATATTGGTGCTTTATAACAACATGTATTTAGAATAACAAACAGACAATTAAATTATCTTTGCATTAAAGGAGTGTTTCTTTTTGTGTACTAAGTTGCAGCTAGAATAGAAGAATTGAGGGTCATATTTGAGGGCATGGAAAAAATATTAGTCTTTTGCAAAATGAGTTTGAGTTTTACTTGGAAATCAGGCAAAAGGTTTGTTCTTGGAGAATGAATATCTGTTATTTAGGCTAGGTAATCAAACAGATGTGCATGCTCAGTGTATTCTCCCTTGTGTGTTGCTTTTAACAGCAAGTTATTCCAAAGGGCTGGTTTTGGCCCAGGCAGGCCATCAGGGATGTCACAGAGATTTTCTTATACATTTTCTATCTAATTTTTGCTGTTTAATCAATTGTCTATTCTCAACCACCACTCAACAGTAAAATTATAAAGACACTGAAGACACACCCACACACCTGTACTATATTTTGGGAAATACCGAAAAGGAAGTCAGATTATCCCATACTGGCTCTTGTGAAGTGAAAGCAGTTGAGTACAGTGGTAGCTCCACCTTGCAGAAAATACAGGGACAACAGGAGGTCCTGTGTAGGGGAGTATACAGAGGCTTTCCTTCTCTGAATGCCTACAAACATTTCTCACCTCAGAGATGCTTAGTAAGTGTCTGAAGGAGGTAGGGTCATACACTGAGACTGGGGATAAGGATTTCTACTGCAGATCAGTTGGCAAAGACAAGTACTTACTTGGAGAAAATCCTTTTCAAGGTACTATGCTCTTTCACTTGAAGCTGAAAATTCTGTTTCCAGATAACACCTCTAGATGAAGTATTCTGTCACTCAAGTTACAGCAAAAAAAGTCTTTTAGGAAAAGAACAGCTAAACACATGTTTTCTCCCTTTAGAGACTCAGGAAAGTTCAGAATGATAAAAAGGGCAGTGGTAAGAGACTTTCTTTGCAGCAACCAGCAAATATAGTTGTTATAAATTATATATACATATGTAGCTCCATTTAAATATATCTCCAAAATGTCAAAAATATGAGGAAAGAAAGGCATGAGTACTAATTTCATTCGAATTGAAAAGCAACAACAAAAAATATAATCATTTCTTGCCTTTTTTTCCCCTCCCTTCTTTCAGGTCCGCACCAGTGTCCTATCTGATTACAAGGAACCAAGAGCAGATGTTGGGGTAAGCAATTATTTTCTGTAATTGATTTTTTTTTTTTAATCTCATTGGCAGGCAAAAACACTCAGTGCTCAACAAGAGCTGGCAAGCTTTTTTAATAGCAAAAATTTTTGGTTAAATGAATAAAATAATCAAGTCAGGAGTGGTAGTCTCATGGTAGTCTCATTGATGTAATCCCATTCAAATCTCTGAAAATCTTCTTCAACTGAAGCTATCCTGAGACAAGCACAATCATGTAAACTCCTTGCTAATGTTATACAAGCAATCTGGATGAGATTGAGAGTCTGGAATGGCATTGCCTCAAGAAGACTAGGCTGTTGCTTTCTGGTCATCGTGTGCAGGGTATCAAACATTCTGCAGCAGGAGTTGCCTTTGGTTTCTGTTGTCAGAAGTGAAGCTGGCAACATATAGAGGACTCATTTTTACGTGTAGATCTACAGAATGTTTGACAAAGGTATTGGGAAGTAATTTTCTGGGAGGGCAAAAACCTCCAAGATAATAAAACTTCCCACCTGGTCCTGCTAGAGCTGGATGTAAGAACAAAGACCACCTGGTGCAGGTGTCAGATCTGTCTGCAAACATGTAAAATACCTGGAGGTTTAAATTTTTAGCCTAAGGCCTTGACTTTTCTGCCTTACTGGGGCTTCCTTGGCATAGTTTTCAATACTTCAGCTAGTGTTTGAAAAATCTGTAGCTTGGCAGCAAGTTCAATCTTAGTGAAATAATCAATGTGTTTTAGCATTCCATATAGCTATTATAGAGACTTTTCTCTTTGGCTAGCTGAGATTATTCATCGAACTACTCAAGGCATATATCTTAAGATTTATTGTTGTGTCTAGAACCCTAGCAAAATTGCAAAGGAATGTTACTCTGTAATTATCATTACAGCAGTAATTTTGTTTGAAGTCTACTTTTCAAGCCTTTCCAAATTATGTGGGCAATGTTAAATTGGTTTGTAGACTGCCAGTTTAGGCCCCGGGGTGGACTATTGGTATCTAAATCAGTATGGAAAAAGTATTCACCAGTTTGATATTAGATGCCTTGAACATTAGCATAACTCTCTTAATTTGGGTCATGGGATAATTTAAAATTTTATTTGATTTTGCACATAGCTCTGTGTTGTCAAGCAAAGAATTTCTTATTTTCTAAATAAGCATAAAAATATGAAACAGAGAACTGTTCTACTGAAAAGTAGAACATTTTAAGCCAATAAAATCATTCACCTTTAATTTCATGATGCTGGTGAAGTAGATCTGATGCTCAGACACATTTAGTGGGTACAATCCACTCCCTTTGACTTTATGAGAGAGCAGTCTCTTGGCCCTGATCACTTGAGGATTCTGACTTAGGATTCTTAAATATATTTATGGCTCTGTTTTGCAGCAGAAAGAAGCCCCAAGTGACCAAATCTTATATCAGTTTCATTCCAAATATCCCCCTTCCCCTTTCCAAATGGTCAGCTTTTGAATACAAGCACTCAAATGTCATGAAATGCCAGAATAAAGGCTGCCATAGAGGCACAGTGCTGTGGAATGTTTTCTTACAGTATGAAGAAGGATATGCCCTTGGAAAAAGATAAATAATCTGGGCTAAATGTGTGACCAGAGTGTTTCAGTGCAGAAACACTCTCATGTTGACTCATCTAAAGGAAGACAGAACCATCTGCGTGTTCACTCCAGCAAGGCTGTGCATCACCATATGTTGCACCTGGATGTCTTTTTTGTCAAAGTACTTTTCATTTTGGCACTGAAAAGTAACTGTGATCTTTGCTTGTGTGGCTCTATTAATTTTCTTCCTTTCTTCCTGTTCATCGCTTTCCAGATCCACTGTTTTTCCAGCCTTCCCTAGATTCTCAACTTGTGTGCTTTTTCCTTTGCTGCTTACATGCTGCTTAGGAAATCCAAACCTGTGCCATTGATGGGAACAACCATACCTCATGACTCAGTTTACCAAACTGCAGACCAGCAGTTTGCAGTTTACTAACTGCAGTGTTGGTGCTTGCCTAATTTCAGAATTTGTTTTGAACTGTACATTGTATATGGAAGAAAACTTATTTTAGTGTGGAGCTTTATTGTTTGCATTCAAACAATCAACATCCTTCCAGCTTTCCTGAAAGAAAACAGGCTGAAGGTTTTTTTTTTCACCAGAGCAAGTTACTCTTCTCAGCAGTGAGAAATTCTTTTCTGTTTTCCCTGAAGGGAACATTGCTCTCTGTAGGCAGCCTCTGTTGACTCATAGCAACTTGATTCTTCTTTAATTTGTATATCCAAGAATGTATATAATTTAGCCTGGAATTCTAATTTGCCATTCCAACAGTAAACTTAGTGTTATGTAACAAAACCCAATCTTTGTGTCCTTTTTATTGTTTTATTGCCAAAAATTAAACATAATGTCATTATTTTCTTACAGTTTCTTTAGAGCAAGTGATATTGTGTTGTATATTTGATGGGTAAGTTGATAGAAGATGGCTGTAGGTGGTTAGTTTCTTGCCCATTTTTCCCAAGGCAAGAATACTACTGCTGGCCAAGTTGACAGAATGAGATTTCAGCAATGTGGAGCATGATATGAGCAGAGGTTAAAAAAAAGCCAAAGTGCAAAAGAAGATTTAACCCTTTTTCCTCTTTGAACTTTCTTTTATGTGTGAAGAGTGATTTTTATAGAAGAAAAAGATTTAGTGGTGTAGCTAAATTTAACTTTAGGCATTCTCATTGCATTATCACATTTCTCTGCAGTTTTAATGCAGTGAATAGGTTCACCTTACAATGGAAATAGAGGAAAACTGTACTAAAAACATTGCCAAGAACTAGATAAATATAACATTTCTATTAATAAACTTGTGCTGAACTCAAGTTAAGAATATCTTCCTAGCATATACATTCATATTTGGAATACTCGGATGGTAATGCCAATGGATTGAGAAAAAACCATAACAATAACAACTTTGGTAAAACACTGAAAACTTAACACTTCTTGTAATCCAGAAATTGGAAAAATAGGAAGAAATAGATGCAAAATGCAAATACTTGTACTGAATGAAAATTTTCCGGTGGCTGTACATCTTACAACCTGTTATTTTGTCAGGTTGTTAGACTGTTCTTAATGGAAAAGAGAAAGGTTCCTGCCCATAAAACCAAAGTTTTTAACAGTTTAGTGATAATAACGCTGCACAAAAAAAAAAATCTGGATAAAGTATCAAACTGTTATGTTGAAATGCAATCTTTTTCTGGGTACTGAAGAAAGATTTTCAAGTGTGAGACCAAAAGAAGTAAAAAAATGAATGAATATGTTTTCTTTCTGCTTTGATTTGTAGCAAAGCTTCCTGGGCTGTGCAACTTTCAGAGTAGGAGATCTGGTAAAGTCAAAGGAGCATCAGTTGACCCTTACCCTCAGGTATGTGTTTCCCTCTTGTTGTAAGTCATGGTTTTTCTAATTACTGACCCTTGGCATTTCTCATCCAAAGAACGGCAACAAAGATAGGGAAGGGTCTGCAGCTCTAGTCAGGTGAGGAATGGCTGAGGGAGCTGGCACTGTTTATCCTGGAGAAAAGGAGGCTCAGTGGAGACCCTATCACCCTCTACAATTAACTGAAAGGAAGTGTTGTGAGGTGGGGGTTGGTCTCTTCTCCCGAGAGGTAGCAAGTAAGAGGACAAGAGAAACTGGCCCCAAGTTGCACCAGGTGAGGTTTAGATTGGATATGAGGAAAAAAATTCTTCACATGAAGGGTTATCAAGCACTGGAACAGGCTGCCCAGGGAAGTAGGGGGGTCACCATCCCTAGAGCTATTTATAAGACATGTGGATGTGGCCCTTAGGAACATGGTTTAATGTTGGGCTTGGCAGTGCTGGATTTATGGTTGGACTCAATGCTCTCAAAGTTCTTTTCCAGCCTATACAATTCTATGATTGCCGCTTGACTGTGTTTTAAAATCCATGTTCCATCAGGAACATATTAGTTGTCATATTAGATGACAACTTGAAATGCTTCTAATTCTGCCATGTACAAATTCAAAATTAAACACCAGAATGAAATATCAACCCTATAACCTGGAGCTTCCCAGGTGCCAGATTAGAAAAGGTAATTTTATACTATGATAACCTATGGAAGAATTGCAGGGAACTTGGCATAGGGAATATACATTCAAAGATTCCTTTAGAAAGGAGCATAAGATTCTCAGTTTTGTTTGGTATGTATGGTTTAAAGAATTAGCAGTGTACAGTTTTTTTGAGGCATGTTTAAAGAAGGTGGGCCTAAATTTCGAAGGTGTCTCCCATGTGAAAATGCTTGTGGTCTCCTAAACTCATTGTTATATGCAGCCATACTGAAATTTTAGGGGATGTGATGTACAACTCTAATCAGTGACAGGGTACGGAGCCGCAGAAGGGTCAGAGACAATGTTCAAAACTTAGGGCTGGGCTGAGCAGATACATCTGTGCACTGAAGGAAAAAAAAAATCATTTATCACCCCTGATACTGTTTTGCATGGCTTGAGATAAATGAAGATAATAATCAAAACCTTTGAAGGTTAAGGGCAACGTTTTAGACAGTGATTTTCAGAATAAATTCATTGGACTTTATATAGTGCAGGGATTTGTTGAGCTGATTTTTGCAACGACAGTGGAGGCTTATTTGGGATAACTGGCAAGGTACAGTTAAACTTCACAGAGCTACTGCTCAAACTCCATATGTCTGCAAAGGCAACATTCTGGGAGGAAAGAAGCTGTGACTGGGAGAACTGAGACACCAGCACGTGTTGTACCTGCGATCTTGTACATAGGTGCTGTGGGAAAGTTGTATTATGTTTGTTACCCTGAGCACAGGAAGACAGCCTTAATTTGGTTTAAGGAGCAAAGTATGACGCATTCAGAGATTTTTTAGGAATGGAAAACTCCTGAAATATTTTGGCTTCTGCTTTCCTATTTCAACAAGAGTAGTTGTATATGAGTAGTAGAGTGTAGTTTGCAGGGCAAAGTTAACAGAATACTTTGATTTTAATTTCTCCCAAACAGAAAATGCCACGCCTGACAAGAAGATAATTTTGTCTAACAAAAAAATCCGATTTGATAGCATGTGAACTGACTGTTCCCTATGGGAATCAATGGCTAGGTAAATGAATTCCAGCTTAGTGATTGTAAGAATCTATTCTTACAGGAATTCAAGTTGTCTTAGCTCTTTGGGATAAATTTTGCTCCCCTAAGTGACATATTGAAAATTTGATCTGAAAGACTGCCTCCAACAGGTGGCACAGTGATTGACAGAATGGAAAACTTCAGTTTCAGAGTAAGTATTTTGTATCTCAGCTGTCCACTTAATAATCAAAAAGTTAAGATGGAAAATTCATAAGAAATAGATGAAAAATTTGGTTTTAATTAATATTTTTAGTCTTCTTTTGTCCTTTTTGTTCAGCTAACACTAAAAGACAAATATACCAATTAAATTAATTTGCAGACACATTAAATGGTAGGGTTTAGTCAGTTGGATATTTTTTAAGAAAAACATCCTAACCTTTCAAGAGTGGGATTGTTTTCTAATTATGATTATTCAGCAGCAGAAAGTCAGTAGAAATTATCAACATTTCTTTGATGGCAATTTAACCAGAGCAGTCTACTAATTTAAACTTGCTTTCTTCTAATCACCCTGTGGTATTAGTACCTCTCAGGAGGATAGAGGATATATCAAGGGACTTGTCAGAGCATGAAATTCTATTTAATTCTTGTTGATATTCGTTGGATAGGAGTTTATCAGGGCATGCCTGTGATTGAGATACTCCTTTGTTAGATTTAAAGTAGAGATTTAAGGACCCGGAAATAGCCTGTGGTGTGCCCTGTAAAGATTGGTGTAGTTGTAGAATCTGGTTAATTTTTAACTGAGTTTTCTTTTTGTTTTCCTTTTCTAAAATTATTACATCTTTCCATTGTCTTTCTGAGGTAAAATGTAACAATAGAAAAGTGTTTTCAAAGGAACATTGTTGCATTTTTCTGTTATTTTGTGGAGAGCTGGCATGTGTCTACAAGTTCTTACTGTTGACACATGGTGCTTTACTTTTCTGTTTTCCTGCCATTCTACACTAATAGTGATTTGGGACACAAGTTACAAAACCTCTGCAAAAAAAGTTTTTGTTTTGGTTGTCCTTTCTTCTCCATGAAGGTGTCCTAAACTGGTGGCTGAGTGTTTCTGGTAGATCTGTGCGCATGTAGATAATCATCAAAACACAAAAAGGTTGATTTGTAGAATTATGTCAGAGTACACAACAGATGTTGGCAGAGGAATTTAGTGACTAGAGATTTGGGATTGCAGTTTCCAATATGGAATTCATAAAAAGAGAGATGCTTTCTATAGACTTGCATGTTTTATTTTGCAATGATAATGCAGTGTCACTTGCTTCCAGCTTTTTCATACAGTTGTGATGATGAATGGCATAAAATGGGCTGTTGAATGCAACAAAAGTATTTTTCAGTAGGAGAATATTTCTTAATATTGACTATATGATATAGTGTGTCAGATTTAAAAAAATAAAATCATGCATATTTTTTTCTTTCTAAATAAGAGCTAGGTATACTGGCTGCTAATTTAGTAATAAAAGCTGATTTTTTTTTTTTAGAAGATTTAATTTTTAAGTTCAGTTTAGAGGATCTTTTACCATGCCTTTCTGTTAAGAACAGCATAGTATTTTGGGGTTTTGTTTTGTTTTTATTTTTTCTTAGTTGAGCTCTATGGCTTTTTGCAAAGAGCTAGCAATCAGTACTTCCATTAGCCCCTTTCTCTGTGGTGGTAGTTTGCCTGTTTCCAGGAAGGGCCTCTTTGGTTGGGCAATTTTGATATGATTTTCACTTAGTTACCTGTAAGAAGCAGCAAAGGAAAAAGACTATAGTGCTGTCTTGTGTTCTCTGCAAAAATAAGGTGCATGTTCTTTTAAGAGACTGACAAAAGTGTAAGTAGGGTACTTCAGTGTGAAATTGGGGTGGTGTCAGTACCACTCTGATCCTTTGGCCTCTGTTACAAGGAACTCCATAGGAGTGGAACTAAACAAAGAGGAACTAGGAGGGAGGGCATGAATTATACAGATATCTTGGTTTACAAGATAGGTGTCTGCTAGGGAAGGCAGAAAAGCCTTTTTGGAATGGAGAACGTAAACCCCTTCCCTCCTAATTATTAGAATTTTGAAATTAAAGAGTTCTCAGGCAAAGGTATGGAAATAGGAATAACAGTTCTCTATTAGTATGTATAATAAAGCAAACAAACAACAACAACTCCGGCATTAGTAACAAACAGAACCAGGAACGCAGTCCCAGCCTTTCTGCCGCGGCACGTTCCCCTTCGGTGCAGTTCCACTCACAGCCAGCAGGGGCGCTGGTGGCTCCCGGTGGGCGGGGCAGGTGCGGTGATCCCCACGTGGCTGCAGGGGGCGCTGTGGCGCGGGCTCGGGGAGCGTGTGGCAATGGCGGCTGGGCCCAGACGGGAAGGGATTGAGGAGAGGCTTTGCTCCACAAACCCTGGAGCAGGCGGTCTCGGTGCGCCTAGCAGGACTCTCAGAAGCAGCAGGCTGGAATGGCAGGGACGAGCAGAAATCCCGGGGCGGTGGATGAGAATGTATCAAAACTCTATGGCAATAACTGGAACCTGCAGGACGTCCTGGCAGGGCATGGGTATGCGGGGCCCAGTAACAGAAGAAACATTCCCTGCTGGGTTATGGTGGTGGCAGTGAACTCCTTTCCCCAAGCCACAGGTCTGATCATCCTGTGAAGCCCAGCAGCGAGAGAGCACGCACCCCTATGTCTTTTTACCTGCCCCCTGGAGCAGGCGGTCTCGGTGCGCCTAGCAGGACTCTCAGAAGCAGCAGGCTGGAACGGCAGGGATGAGCAGAAATCCCGGGGCGGTGGATGAGAATGTATCAAAAAAAAAAAAAAAAAAAAAAAAAAAAAAAAAAAAACAACAACCCCAAAAAACCCCCCCCCCAAAAAAACAACGAATATCAACGAATATCAACTTCTATATAGTCATCTACCTGGTTAGATGTGAAATTCTGCCTGTATATCTATCTGCCCTCAAATTTCACAGAGGAACAAATCCTTTCTCCTGACTGAAGAGAAGAGGGAGCTGGCTTACTCAGAAACTCAGCTAGAATTCCACATTTCTAGCTTGCTTTCCCATTTAGTCCCTTGTTTTAAATTAACAAAGGTAGGATCCAAAACCCCAGCAGTCCAGGTTGGCTCCCCTATATTAATACAATTTTTAAATATCCAGTTTTAAATTAGGAGACTGACATATGTGCCTAGGCATTCAGAACATCTTCCTTTCAAAATTAAATATAGCTGTCTTGTAAAAAATTGAACTTTGGAAACAAAATGGATAGAAAGAATACCCCAACCACGAGTATACATAACTTACAGCCAGAATTCAAAGCTCCTGCCTTTATACCCATATCAGGGTCTTTTTTTATTGTAATTATTTTCCAAATAATTTCCTGATAAGTGGTAAATAAGCACTTTCCCTTTTATCCTTCATGGGGTAGCTGACATAATGTTGAGAGCACACCTACCAGCTAGAAGCAACAGCAACACAGTTTTGGCCAGGTTCCTCCATCCCAGTTTCCCAGGAATAAGAGTAACGACTTCTTTCCTGTTTCACTATGCCGTGTTCTACTTAAGATCTGATTCAGCATCTCATGCCAAGAAACTATTTCTTGCTTAGATTGATCACAGAGAGTTTAGCCATGTTTTTGTCAGTGCTGTGCCTCCAGAAAGCTGGGATTTTGTACAGAAACTGCACAAACACTGGTAAAAACTCTGCAGCACAACTTGCATTTCTGTGCCACTTTTGGGTCCCCAGTAGGACCCGAGCACCTGGATGTTTGTTTGCCTGAGTACTTGAAAATGAAAGTGAGCATTTTTGAGTTTTCTTTGTACTCTGCTAGAGTCTCCTTTCCTCCATCCTGAGCAGCATGTCTCTTTCCAGAGCTCCTGCCAAGGGAGGGGTCCGTGCTGTCCCCGCCTGTCACCAAGTGCCGAAGCCATGCCAAGTTAAATGCTGTAAGTGCCACAGATCAGCATGCAGATTGATCCAGACAGGTAAGAGATTCCTCAAAGACAACACCAGCTTTGTATTTCTGGCACTTTTTCCTCCCCCTAGACTCTTCTCACTTGAAAAAGATCCAAAAAACTCTTATGGAAACCTACAAAAACCTTCAGCCATTTGTTATTTACTCACTGTCTTGGTTTACAAGACAGGTGTCTTCTAGGAAAGGCAGAAAAGCCTCCCTTGGAATGGAGAATGTAAATCCTCTCCCTCCAAATTATTAGAATTTTGAAATTAAGGGGCTTTCAGGCAAAGATATGGGAATAGGAATAACAGTTCTTTGCTAGAGTGTATAGCAAGGTAAACCAAAACAACAACAACTCCGGCATTAGTAACAAACAGAACCAGGAACGCAGTCCCAGCCTTTCTGCCGCGGCACGTTCCCCTTCGGTGCAGTTCCACTCACAGCCAGCAGGGGCGCTGGTGGCTCCCGGTGGGCGGGGCAGGTGCGGTGATCCCCACGTGGCTGCAGGGGGCGCTGTGGCGCGGGCTCGGGGAGCGTGTGGCAATGGCGGCTGGGCCCAGACGGGAAGGGATTGAGGAGAGGCTTTGCTCCACAAACCCTGGAGCAGGCGGTCTCGGTGCGCCTAGCAGGACTCTCAGAAGCAGCAGGCTGGAACGGCAGGGATGAGCAGAAATCCCGGGGCGGTGGATGAGAATGTATCAAAACTCTATGGCAGTAACTGGAACCTGCGGGATGTCCTGGCAGGGCATGGGTATGCGGGGCCCAGTAACAGAAGAAACATTCCCTGCTGGGTTATGGTGGTGGCAGTGAACTCCTTTCCCCAAGCCACAGGTCTGATCATCCTGTGAAGCCCAGCAGCGAGAGAGCACGCACCCCTATGTCTTTTTACCTGCCCCCATTCTTGCAGTATCTTTGCCCTCCCCTCCCACTCCCCCCCCCACCCCCGCAGAGAAACTCCCAAAAATTAAAGGAGTTCTCCACTCCCTGCCCATCTCAATGACACAGCTCTCAGTGTTTCTTAGCAACTCAATAGAAGAAATTCTACAGGTAATAAGGAAAGAACAAAGAAAACCCAACCCCCAACAACAGTTTATCTGGGAGGTTGTGTCTCTATATGTCTGTCAGTCATGTACTATACAGGCTTCTTTAATCATGTGTCAGTGCTTAAGCTCTTGGACAGTATTTATCTAGCTATCTGTCTAATTTTAGT